TATATATATATATATATAGCATTTGTTTGAAAATGTTTAAGCTCTTTACCATGTGTAAAACTAGTAAAGGCCCTTATGTGTTTGACTCGCAAACAACACTGAAACTGCAATGTTCTTGAATATTTATCATAGCCTTGATTTTTACATTTTTTGATATTTATTTGTTTATACTATCTGTACATAATAATGGTGCTCACTTTGTGGACTGTATGGTATATTGCTGCAAAGTCACCAAGTAGGACAGTGACTAATACAGAGTAAAAACCAGTCTAAATGGAAAATAAAACAAGTAGAACTTGTAGAAAAGACAAACAACAGAAACAGAGTAAAATGAACTAAAGAGAGAACTCCATAAAAGTACTCATAAAACAAATGAACTTAACAACTAAAGCTAATTCAAAAACATTTGGAAATCCTTTCTAAATAAGCTTAGAAAATGAGAGTCTTGACCGGAGTTTCGAAGCACTAGAAACAGAATTTTTTCCCTTAATTTTCCTCTGGGAGGTTTTGTCTCAGTACCAACTCCCCTGGTTCTCCTTTCACTCCTAGAATGGCATTATCCACCTGTCTCATCCTGTGACCCCCGTGTCACTTGTTCAGCTGCAGACCCTTTCCTCCTAATTGGAGAAGTCCTTTTCTTCTTCTTTTGCCTCTCAGGTGCTGGCTTACTCACTCGTCTTCTTGCTGTTGTCTTTTCCACTGTATGTAAATGTCTTTTTGGTCTTCACGCTGCTCCCTCTGTCATCTGTTTGTTTTTGATTCAATTTTCCTCCCTCAGTGTCTTGTTACATCCACCACATAATCTCCTTTCTCTTCTTCCTCCACTGCTCCCTCTGTTCCCTCCCACCTTGAACCCTAATCATTTCAAACTGTCGCATTGCTATTCACCACATGCCTGTATATCTTGTTAGCACAGAAGCCCATACCATCTCTTCTTTTAACATTTGAAGACACCCTTCCCCTCTTCCCTTAAGTCTGTCAAAATCGATATTGGAAACGTGGCAGGCGCCTTCCACTGCTAAACCTCCACACATACACGAGTCTTCCATTAGCTCTTAATGGAACTCTGCAACTAATAGAGTTTTGAACTTCAAGTGTCAGAGAGAAGCAGGTGTTATTTTATGCTGCGAAATGGGGGAGGGGAGCACAAGGAGCGCAGAAGAGCCTGGCACTGACGGAAATGTGGATGAGGAAATGATATACAGATGGTGTGTGGGGATGAGGAAGAACAGAGGAGTGAAAGGAAGGAGCTGAGTGGTCGTATAACAAGGAACACAATGTAAAATGGTTGGTAAATGGCAAAAGCATTAGCAGCATTTTTAGTGAGAAAAGGAAAAAAAAGAGCTTTTACTCTAGACCTTCATAACTGACAAACAACTTCAGATATACATTCTGATTGACACCTGCACTCAAAACTTTATTTTTCTTGGTTTTAAAAGTCAGCTGGAGTTTGAGGGAGTGCATGGCCTTTTGGTCTTCTGGGCCATATAATAGAGCAGATGCATTCAGCAGCTTGTATTACATTCTCATTTTTAGGAAACAGTTGTAAATATGATATTACAAAGTGAAACTTGTTTGAATTGAATTAAAGTCAACAACGTAAGAAAAGTGTTCATGCTGATAAAGGAAAACCTGATGTGAAAATGATATTAGAATTTGATAACTGTAACTATCCTAAAAACTGGCTCAATACAAAACTACCACAATATTATCACGCCTAAATATTCAAATCTGAGTTTGTAAATGTTAAGGTTTTGGCAACTACAACACCGTGTCAAGGTTGGTAGCTTACATTTATTATATTGTTTATTCTAGAAAGACAGAATCTTACCAGCTCTGCCACACAGTAGCAAAATATTCTTGAATTTAATGAACTCATTTCATGTCAAGTAAGAAATTGACCAATGAAGGGCAGCTATTTTGTTAGACAAGATTTCTTACCTTGAAAATACTTAAATTGATTATAACATTGAGAAGATTCATGTTTCAGTTTGATTCATTTTTGTGTTGAAAATGTCCACACGCTGTTACTGGTTAATTCTACCTTAAAACGATCTTGATCATCCCATTAACATGAACAGTCATGGTTTGATTGATACAAATGTACTTTTCTTCCTCTCTTCCTTTTTTCAGTGCATTACTGATTTCAAATGTTTTTGAAACCCTTATCTCTGCCCCGGCTAAACAGGTCCAACAGCCAGGCTTCCTCACAAGTGAGGCACGGCCAGGAGTAGCTGCAATCCACGTGTTTTTGTTTTATTTGAAATGAAACAGCCTTTTGCAGTTTAATGATGTTGAAAATGAACTCCTGGTTCTCCACATTTGCTTCTCGTTGTGCATCAGAGGGTGTTCATCGTGAATGTGTGGACCCGTCTAAGAGTTTTACACAGTAATTGTTGCTTGTCTGGTAAGCAGACTGCAGATCTGTTAGGTTCTTTAGGGATCCCTGAGTAAAAGGTGAGATAAATGTGTTTCTGCTTCATAGCATCAACATCTTATGCTCTTTAAAACATTCCAAAGTTCCTGTTGTTGGGGCTCAACTATAGAAAGGAGTCGCAGTGATATTGACCCTTTACCTCAGTCCAATCCATCGAGACAGTTGGTAATGAATATCTTTGAGGGAGGATGATATTAAAACTCCTAACGTCAAAGAGGCAAACATTATTAAATAAAATAAAGGGAAGAATTAAAGACTAATTTTATTTGGTTTGAAAATCAAGCCGTACTAATACACTGCACCAAAGGTTTCTTTGGCTCAATAGGAATGAGCCTCCTAATTAGTTTTGCATTGTCTTAATCAGTGGTACCCAGTATCACATTCCTTGGCGGCATGCAATTAAGCTGAAGATTTAATTTCAGATTCAGGCAACGAGTCTGAGGTAGCAAAACTATTTTCTTTTGTTCCAAGTGTCAGTGTCGGCCGTGGTTTGCTCTACCTTCCACACTGCTGTTTCTTCCTGCAGCAGTAGAGTTGACGTCTCATTTTCTTTTTCTTCCTCTACTTTTGCCCCATCTCTGCAGGACTCCGTTAATAGCAGCTGGCGTCATAGGAGGTCTATTCATCATCGTCATCGTGGCCCTCAGTGTGGCTGTGTACGTTCGCCGCAAAAGCATTAAAAAGAAGAGGGCCCTCAGGCGCTTCCTTGAGACCGAGGTGAGGGTGCAAAGGTCTTAACTGGAAAAATAATGTCTGTGGTTGTGTGTGTATGTGTCTGGAGAAAGGCAACTGAATACATCATTTTAGCAGTTATGTCCTCCCCATTGTTCTGGGACATTCATCTACCAAGGATAGAAATGGAAACGACAAACATTTGCATTCAAGTGTTACCTTGTTACCTTATTTGTAGAGGAAGTCAGATCTAAGGGCCTCGTCTTGATTAAAACTAAGTTCACGTACATTATTTTATGTATCTGAAATGCAATTAAACCAGGATTACCAAACTCACTTTCTCTTTGGGTCACATCAGCAATATGGTTGCCCTTGAAGGGTTGTTTTTGTTTGTTTGTTTGTTTTTTATATTCCATCCTGAAATATTGACCAATGTTGGACCTATACCAAAACCTGAGATTATGCCATCCCTTAAAAATGCCTTTTAATTGATCAGGTTAAGAAACTCACATTCAAATCAAACCTTACATTTTTTCAAGTGAAGTACAATAATCAGACAACAAACACAGATTACATTGGAATTTAACAAACATATGACGTTAGGATTATCTGCAGTACAAAGCCAGGCCTCACTTTACAAAAACATAACAGCTTGGGTTCCAAACATGTGTGTATGAACCTGTCCGACCTGCCTGCAGTCCAGAACTGTCTACTATTGAACATTCTTTGGGGAAAATGGACAAAATGTGTTTCAGCATGTGTTTCAGCAGTGTGTTTCAGCAGTTCCCAGATAGCTGTCCAGAGTTCACGTTGATTGGCTTCTGTTTGTCACTTCTAGCAAACTTTTCTAGTTGTCACTTAGCCTGTTGGCTAATGGCTGTGGTGCATTATCAGGTAGAGTATACCACCCTACCTGAAAATGGGGTTTACACACCCTTGATTGAACCTAGAAACTACACTGATATTTTCTGATTACGACCTTATACGTTCTCCACATAGAAAACCTTTTACCTCCAAACTTCCCCAATAATTGAGGAAGATGCCAATCTCAATTATACTTACAGGAAATCCTTGAAATATTAAACCTTACTTGTAGTACTTAGCCAAATCAGGCAATGCACAGAAGGATTTCAAATTATGCATGGCTGCCTTCGCCCATCGATCCGGCCTTGAGAAGGCCTTCATTTCCTAGACGCATTTAAACAGAGGAGTGGACTTGATATTCAAAGGAGTGGGTCATGGGGAGTTAGCCTGTGTGCCCATATATGGGCTTCAGCTTTTTCGGATCACATGCACGTGGCCTTATCTCTGTAAGCATAGCAGGCCGGGTTGTCAGTCTGTGTTAGGATAATTTACAGGTGGAGGCAGAAGTGTTATAGACAGCTGTCAGGTCAGAGATGGGGAATTGGAGAAGGGCAGCAGTGCACCGTTTTTGTCCTATCCCAGGCCACAGACATCCATCTTAATTAAGCACATGGCCATCCCAAAGCCACTTTACTGGGAGGTACGTTTCCTGCCTCGAGCAGATTTGCTAATGTACTGTCACAGAGGAGGAGGGGCTGATGAAGGCTGGAGGATCACTCTGGTCAGGGGATTTTCTTTTCTTTCTCTTATGCGCCTGGTCATATACAGCTGGCCCAGTACATCACACAGCAGAAGAATGTGAAATATAACCAGCTGATCAATGTTCCCCTCTCTGCAGGGGTTAATGATTAGGTGTTAAACTGATTAGAAACACTATAAAATCTGTAACACTCACACGACTGATGGCCGATCTACAGGTTAGCCGTATCAGTCATTAAGAGAAGGTCATGGGATCAATTCCCACAGTGACCTTAATGCATGCTCACTGTGTTATCAGCCATGTTGCAGTAATGCCGGTCGTGACACTGAACTCACTTGGTCACTGTAGGTCATTGTGGCCGAGTGAAAATTAAGTCTTTTCATGTATTCCACACATAGACAGTGGATGAAGATACTGCTACTGTTGTGTGAGGAAGACTAGGGGGCAGTGGTGGCGCAGTGTTTAAGGAAGTGGACTTGGGTCTGGAAGGTTTCAGATTTGAGTCCACCAGCTGCCAAGTTACCACTGAGGTGCTCTGATCATGGCACAGTCCCCACACACTGCTCCCTGGCCCTTAAAGCTGCTCCACTGTTCACTTTGGTGATGGGTCAAAAGCAGAGGTCACATTTGGTTGTGTGCAGTGGTGAGCTGTGTCACAATGACAAGGAGTTCACGGGGTCTCTGACTTACGTTTGAATTCCGTTCCTACGGTGCAAAGTAATTAGATTTGTGCTTCAAGTCAGAACTTATATACTGTACATCAGTACCTTTGTCACTCACCTATGGTAATAGATTGGACACATCATAATCTAGGACATAAAAACATCAGATGAGTCTGAATTACACTTGGGAGCCATAATAAAAAAAACAGCACAAATAAAGGAAAGTGAATGCAGCACAATCCAATGTATGGTGTTCAAGCGGCGAATGTAAACAAAGCTGTCCTCAGCGTATACCGCTGCATTGCATCGGAACAGCACTGTATATATACAACATATAATAATGGGGTTTGCTGGTGAAAAGCCTCTTGTCCAACTGCAGCTGAACTTTTAAATATAACTGTTGTTTTTCACAACTGCTTTAACCTAACCTTCAAATAAAGAAAAAAAAAATACTACAGAAAACCATGAAAAGAAGCCGATTCTTTGCAGCATGTTTCACTATCCGGAGGCACATTTTCTTTTCAGCTGATGAAACACGGTTATAGGCCCAGGGCGACAGGTTAAAGCAGATCCCTTGCTCAAAAGATGCTCAGTCTATAGTATGTGTGTGAATGGAGCTCAGGCTTGTCTGGATGAGGGATTTGGGGACAGGGCTGAGAATCAGGGACTCCCTGTGAGTCTCCCTGTCTGCCTGTGCGCCTACTACAAAGAGCAAACCTCCTGTGTCAGACACAAAAACACACTGCCTCAGGTTTGCACTGTCAGAGTGTAATCTTAGCATTAGCTAGCATTTCCATATGAATACAAGCTGCTGCACTGTCTTGACTTTTCAAAATCTTTACAGGTTTTTGTGTATAACCAGTCACCCTTTTCTACTTTTGTTAATCACTGCATAATTTACGTACCCCTCTTATTTCTATTTAAAAGAAATATGAACCAACATAAAAGATAAGCCTGTCTTGCACTTTGTTGTCTTTTGGAGAATCATTGTAGAAACAAATAGCAGTTTTGCAGTCAGAACGTACAGAATGGAGTCCTCTTGATGTTACAACATGACCAGAGGTCTTCAACTTTGACCCAGGTCTATGGAGAATGACAAATGTGTTTCATATCACACACTTTCCCTGCCAGTCCCAAGGTTGTCCTTCAGGTGGTCTGCAGCCATGGAAAGTAATGACTTTCAGCACCATGGGCTCTGGATAACTCCCATGCTGCTCTTGTGCAGCATGGCTTTCAGCTATCTGTTGGCTGGACAGCTCCACAGATACCTTACTATATTTATAGTTTTATCCATTTGAAAGACAGATTGATGCTTGATGCAGAGCACTTTCTATCAAAAAGGTGAAACAAAGATGAAGGATGGTGATTTTTTTAAATGTTTTTCAGGTATTAAATTAAATGTTTGTTTTTTTTTTTCAACTCAACAACACATTAGAATCTGTTTCCATTCCGACTTCATTTGAATTGGACTTTTTTATTCACATGTCAGTCATGTCTGAGCTCTCTCTCTGCAGTTGACATTTTAATTGTAATAGTAACCTTAAATGTTGCACAGAATAACCAGCTCATTGCCATTATAGTATAATGTACTTTGGTCAAGTATGACATATGCTGTTGTCTACTATACTACTACACTATAGTACACTGTAATGTTGCAATTTATTGTAGATTATGTATGGAATAATAAGGAACAAGCCAAAGACTGAAAAAAGTGCAAGTTATAGTCTGGATAATTTGGTAATATAGTATGATATAGTTCAGTTCACTGTACACAGAGTACAGATCTGAACGCATCATACTGTATAGTATAGTATGACTATAGAAATATCAGTGTAGCATAATATACTGTGGCTTGGTAAAATAAGTGTAGTTGTGAGTATTTCTACATGCAGTTACATAAATACAGTTCAAAAAACATTTTAGTTAAAGTGCTTTGAATTCCATTCATTGAATAAAAATATCCACATATTTTGTAGATGAGTTGGAATGGTTCTGTTAAAAAGACATGGTCAGTAAATTGGACCAAGGATGTTTGCGATGGAGCTTCTGTTTACAGGGAGGACGAGTGAGTCTAAAAGACTGAAGGCAGAAAAATGTTATTATACCATTTACTGTTTCAATTATATTCAGCCATAAATAATTGTTTGTGCTTGAGTGCATTTTCACCAAATGAATATTCAAAATATAACTGACATGTAATTTGTGCTCCCTCACACTGATTGTCATTAGGCTGAAGCTTGTGGAATCACAGCCTTTGTTTATTTTAGACTTGTTCAAATGCACAATACAACAAATGCAGCGTTTGATATGGGTGACGTGAATATTAAAGCACATGCCCCCGGGTTTGTGAAACACGTTTGTATGTGAGGACGCTATTTACTTATTCAAAGCTCAATAATTCTCTAAATGTATTCCAGCCCCCGGCTTGAACATCCTGCATATTTGTCCAATGAAATCCAAATCCTCTCCACTGTGCTGCCACTGAAGCTCATTTGGCGTAGGCATGGTGCATTATTAGCTGGTAAATAAAGTGTTGCAGTGAATGTTCATGTGAGTGTGAGTGTGAGTGCAACCAAGCTCAGGAGAGTACTGTCGACCATGGGTCTGCATCTTATTTAGCGAGCTCTACTCCTTTCTCACTCTTCCCTCTCCTCCTCTTCGCTCCTCTCCTCATCAGTCCGGTGCAGCATCATCCTAATGAGACGATAACAGCTACAGCCTGTTACCATCTGCTCTTATTACCACTCTCTCGCTCTTGTCCCTCCTCAACACTCTCTCTCTCTGAACTGCTCCTCTCCTCTTCACCTGCATCTTCATAGTACAGTCAAGACCAAAAAAAAAAAAAAAAAGCTCTTTGGCCACATCTGGAACATATCTGATGGAGGTACAACCTCTTCCTAAACTGTGTTCAGATTCAGATTCTTTCTGACTAGTTATAGGACAGTAAAACAGCATCAAAAGTTTGGTCTATTTGTTATATAAATTGCTATATTTTATATAAATTGATTAAGTAAAAGGATATTGCATTCACCTTGTAAAAAATGATGATGATACCGAGAAGCTGTGGCTTTGTAATCACACATTAAATGCATCATGGTTTTTTTTTTTACTTTTTTGAAATGAACACTTAATAATTAAAAGACTTTTGCTTGGAGGAAGAAATGTTTTAATAGTTAACAAATATATACACAAATACAGTAAAGTGAATGCAATATATTAAGTGTTGGAATTAGCTGTGCTTCTTCTTTCAGGTGTTTGGAAAAGCAAGATTTACTGAAAACATACTTCAAATAATGATACAAACAAAGGGTTAAACAGAATATGATTTTATTAATATTGGTAAATAGTATTTTATAAAATTGTGTTGACATTTTTTACAGAAATCCAAACTTAATAGGGCATGTGATACATTTGCCTATAACCATTTTATTGGAAAACCTGCAGTAAAGCGTACTGCATTGTCTGGTCTCTGTTAAACACGTACATTTTCTGATGCTCTGATGGAATCAGACAGATCATAACAACTAATGCTGCATCCAAATACATTTCTACTTGGTGTTTTTGTATTTACATGATGACATAATGATTTACCTGTATATGCACTGACCACTGCCAGAACACATGGTTAATAATTCCATTAGTCTCCACTGATTGAGGAGAACACTGGTGTGGTTGTTGAACAAACCTGAGGATTTGACGTTGTGCGTCACTGTCACACCATCCCTTATTGCTTCATTCTGTCCTCTCACTCATTTCCTCATCCTTTTACCTCCTTGTATTGGCTTCTAACTCACTTCCTGCAGAGACATCCCAGCAGGTTTACACTGAGCGCCCCCGCCCCCTCAGGGCCAGCAATAACAATAGCCATTAAACAGCGTGTCATTGCCTCGCTGCAGGCAATGTCATCCATTCTGGGGATCACCACAGTGGTGGTGGTGGTGGTGGTGGTGCGATCCTCGGTCCTATTGTGCTGATGGTTTTATCACACATTGAGTAAGTGCTGCCGTAGCTGACCGACTGATATATGGTCTCATTATATTGTTTGACGGCCATGGTTGAGCCGGGTGATTATGCTGCTGATAAACCGCAGCCAAAGAGGGACCTAGTAGGCTGATAGGCTCATTAAGGCCTGTATTGATCACTGGCATTGACTTATTGTAGCAGGGCCTGTGCGTATGAGTGCACACGTGTGTATATTTAAGGCTAATATGAGTACAGATTTGCACATCCTATCATTTTTTTTCTGTGTTCACTTGTGTCTTTAAAAGTGCACGTTTCTGTGGTGTGGCTGGACTTTACTGTGTCCCTCCCTCTGGCTTAAATGCCCTAAAAGCCCCACTACAGGTGCCAGTCCCTGCTCTTTATTTAGTAGCTGCAGCCTTTATTGAGCAGCTCGGTGACGCGGGTGGACGGCCCAGCTGCTGGGATGTTGTTCGGTGTCAGCTGTTACTGGCAGCCATGCAACGCAGAGGAGGCCTGTCATAACCTTGAATTGGAATTTGTTTTTGTGTGTGCACAGCTGGTGAGCTGCTACTCTTTGTCAGCTGTGATAGCTGCTGACAACAGGTTGTATTTTGTTCAGTAGTGGGAACGCGACAGCCAGCAATAATAGCTGCCAGTTTCTGACTTTGTAATCACACCCCTAATGTGAATCATTATTATTATTATGTCTTTTAAAGTGGTACAGTGTGTGTGTGTGTGTCCTACAGAACAAATTTCAGGTTCTTAAATTTCACTGTAGCTACAGAAAAAACAACATGTAGAAAATGACATATACAGTGTTTATCCTACATTTCTGCCCATTAGTTGGCAAAGTTGTTATTATTTTCTGCCATACCTGCTTTTTATTGGCTAACTTTTAACGATGTCCTCGCCATTACATCGACACACCCCCTATGTATAAATCTATTAAGAAAGTCTTGTTCTGTCACACATTTGTCCGGTGTTTATATACACCATGGGGGGGGGGACGTTTTCCCTTTCGTTATGGCTCACAGGTTGTGCCTGACTATCGTAAAAGATCAAAGAATTCCACAGCCCACTCTCTTTGTGCTCTTCGTTGCTGTTCGCTGTCACTAACTGTATAGTTTCCAGACCAACAGGTTCTGTTTTCCTACATATTACATATAAGCTTCTACTCCCTGAGAATTTGTGTTCTCCCTGGTCGCTCCCTGGAACTGAACCCCGACATAAGTTGAGGACCCCCTGTACTTTAATTTAAGGCACTGACAGAAAAACCACGTGGCACACGTCAACATCTTATGCTGATAGTTAAGTAGATTAAATACTAAACTGAGCTCCATTTGTTTACCTGTTTTTTTTTATATATAAATTCCTCTAACACTGCCGTCTGTCAGGTGTGTAACACACACACCACAGAAATGTGTCTCAGGCCAGACATCTGACAGAGACAATGAATGTATAATATTCCAAAATGTATCACCACTCCATATGAATGTTTTTGTTTTGTTGTGCGTTGTCAGCTTGTGGAACCCTTGACCCCCAGTGGAACTGCACCCAACCAGGCTCAGCTGAGGATCCTGAAGGAGACGGAGCTGAAGAGGGTCAAGATTCTGGGTTCAGGAGCTTTTGGAACTGTCTACAAGGTCAGTGTGAGTGAGTCTGTGTATGCATGTATTATAACCCCTTCATTAAAATGCATCCTTTTTTAAATATCCTTTTTGAACATCAAACTCCTATGATTCAGTGAGGCGACACCTGATCTTGACCTTTCTTTCCATTTGCTGTCTTACTCATAGATCAAGAGAGCTTCTCTTACACAAATGAAAATAAACACTTTTCTTTTACGTCAGTGTTTCTGACAGACATGAGCCTGAGGCTACCTATGGACCTGAAACAGAAAGAGATGTTCACTGCCTTTGGCAAAATTGAACACACCATAGCAAGACACGGTGAAAACCACTGCATAAATACACAGCAACTCAAAGACTTTCCCCAAAATAACTGTGAACAGACCTGCTTGTTGTTTTATAGCTACATTGTATTAAGTTTGCCTACGCACACGTTTCCTGATCTCAGGCCGGTACCCTGCAGCAGGTGAGCAGATTTAATCTCCCATTAAAAAAACAAAACAATAAACTTAGAAAGTCTTCTGCATTTATCAGTTTGAGGGTGAGCAGACTCATCTTTGTGTTTAAAAGATGTGGCGGTGTATCATTGTTTGATTCCCAGGGGAACCACATCCCCTCAATGGCGCCTCCCTTGTGTCAGTTGCAAAGACTGACACTGTAAATTATTATTATTATTATTATTATTATTATTATTATTATTATTATTATTATTATTATTATTATTATTATTGTTATTGTTAGTATTATTATTAAGATTTGATTGTCTGTTACATACAGGGAAACCGTTTTATGCGGAATATGTATTTTGTTTTATTTTTCTGTGGCTGAATAAGAACTGTGGTACTTATTGAGGTAGTCAAAGTGGCAGAGAAGTATGTGTGGGTGGTGAATATTTCTATATTAAAATGTATTAAAAATAGGGAGCAGGTGCAGGAGAACCTGGAAAAGGAGGGTCTGGTCAGAAGATAGCAGAGAGAATACACGTGTACACTTGAAAAAAGAAGTAGTAAGTTGTGTGAGTTCCATTAGCTGAGGTCAATCTTTAGTAAT